AGCAAACTTTGTCCATTAAGGTATGTGAATAAGCTCTCTTCATTGCTTAGTAATTGCCCTTTTAGGGAGAAAATGATATAATTTGACACCTTTGTGAAACTCTAAAGCCCAACAGACACTGTGCAACAAACTTTATACAGGAGTCAATGGAATTGCAGCATGTTGCATGAAATATAACTGTTCCTTATTTTATGCAACATGTTTCAAGCTCCATTGACTCCTGTATAAACTGTGTTGCATGCAACAAGTTGTTTGCAAGAAATGTTGCATAGTGTATGTTGGGCTTAATAATCTCTACTTACATGTTTGTCCAAACATAAAAATATTGGCATCAGTTGAATTGGAAGATATCATAGTTCCGTTCCTACTAGTAAAGTCATTAGTGTTGTCTTGGTCAAAGTTTCCTAGGAGTCCTGTTGTATTTCCCATGTACGACTGTGGCACATTCAATGTAACTGAGAGGATTGCTAATCTCAGTGTGACATTGACTCCTACACCACTTGATAAGGCAATGGAGATCAGCTCAGTTGTTTCTCTTGTTACAGTTACTGTGGTGAATTCCAAGGTATCATTAACTGATGTGAGATTAGCAGACATGTCACTACCATTATATAAAACAACAAATTCATTAGGATCCATCTCATCTATTCTAACCTACATGTGCACGTGTATAAAATTAAAGTTATATATCCTTTCAAATCTAACCTCAACTGTGGAGCTCCTGTTACTATCACTAACTGCTATTGCACTAAAAACTGTAGCTGTTGTGTTTGGTGCAGCTAACTTTGTACGAGCCTGTACTTCAAAATCCTCACTATTGGTGCGCAATAGTACATATTCTCCAAGCCCATTGAAAGTATATGATCCTTCATCAAGTGTTGTAATATGAGGATCACCCCAGAACCAAGCTATGAGGGAGAGAGAGAGAAAGAATCATAGATATTTTATGCTATCAGTTTGCATATTCTTATTATTAAAATAGCAATTGTTAGTATAGTTACAAATTTACTGTAACAGTTTAAGCTCACTCACATCGTATAGGAGGCCTGTAGCCAGTGCATGTCTTAATGGGTCTACGTTCTCTAAAAAGTTCACAGTTCTGAGACACTATACAACACAGTGAATGAAATCTTTCATCAAAAGTTAAATAATTGGAACGAGAAAATTGTGGGTGAAATCTGAAGACATGAGAGGAGAAAGGTCCTTGGGTGATTAAAGCGCGAAATGAGTTTCTAAAAAAACTATAAGAGATAAGAAGCATTATGCTATACTGTACAGTACAATAATAATAATAATAATAATAATGATAATAATAGAGCCATTTTTTGAAAAAAATCATGGGCTATAGATCTAGTACAGGGTGTTTATTGAAGATTTGTATGATTTTTAGGCAACCAATTTTTGAGAAAAAGCCAAGCAATGGTTCATATTATGGACTTGTAACTTCAAATACTCACATCATACATGTAACCCACATCAGTACACAATTACCATACTAAATATAGTCAGTAGAATAAATTTTTTCTTGTGAATAGGTTGAAAGGTGATTTTCGTGAAATATTTTCCCTGGGACATATACCCTCTATACAGTACCATACACTTACTTAAAGTCGTAGCAGCACATGCTTTGGTATGTAGATGGAAACCTATTTATATAACATGCAACTCTTTCGGCTCGGTGAAATTGAAGAAAGCGGAATCTCCTGTCAAACCATGCTTGATTTATTGAACAGGGACAGGTATGTGCAAAAGAAGCTTCAAATGTTCCAATTTCTCGAAGATCTTGGTCATTTCTGTATGCTTCCAAGCAAGCAGCTTCAGCAGGATCTATAGGAAGGAAAAATGAAGGAAATCAAACTAAACTTTGTTGCTCTATGACTACAATGATTGATAATGTGTACAATTTAAAGTAGCTTTTTGGATAATGCCTTGCCAGGACTAGCTGATACTGCTTAGAAATATTAGTGACATACTGTTATCAGAAGAGAATGAGTAGAGTATGTTAGTGAAATCTGCATTATCTCCACAGCCAAATCTTAATAGTCCTCCTGGTGTCCCTGATCCAAGACTATTCTCAAAGAAAAATCCTCTAATATTATACCCAACAACAGATGTGCTATGATAAGTGTCCCACATAATGTCCCCACACTTGTATATGTATATGACATGGGTCTCTGTTCCATCAGTTGTAAGTACAGCTTGAAATGTGTTATGCTAGAAAAAATATAATAATAATACTAACAATTTAAGTTATTTATTATTATTACTAAGTCAAAGAATGGGTCCGAAAAAACTCCTTGTGGGTAAGGACGTGCTGCACTCCATTCAATGAGGAGCATCCATATTCCCTGGTAGTTGGTTGAGCTCCTACTGGTTCTGATGTAGTTATTGACAACATTAAACACTCCACTGGCAAGTGGATTGTTTGAA